GGGTTCAAATCCCCCATCCTCCACTTTTAGAGCCTGGTCCGGTGAGAACCCGGCGTGCTCCGTCCCGGCTTTGTAGGGATGCGAGGTCAATGGTCTCGACTACGGCATGCACGACTATGAGTACCCCCCCACCCCCCCCACCCCCCCACCCCTATTTTTTTCGATTTTGTTTTGGTCCGACTGGGCGTCGCTTTGTAATCACCGGTGTCCCTCCTCCCGGGCAAGACAGCGTGGGCTTCTTCGGTGAGACAGGGGGACAGCAGCGGCGATCGGGCGTGGATGTCCGCCAGCTCTGGGGATGACTCTTCTTCCGGATCGGGGTCCGGGCTGTCAGGCTCTGGCGGCAAGGAATGGGTAGACGACGGCCGAGATAGCCTTCCGTTCGTGGTAAGCATGGTCGGCAGCAGCGGCGCGGCCGTGGCGGGAAAGAAAATAGAGGGGGGGGGGCGTTGTTTCGGGCCACGCCGCCCTGTCGTCCTTTTGGTCGAGATACCGACACAGCACACTTCCCAGGGGCAAACGCGGGATGATTCTGTCCCAGAATCAACCTTAACCTTTTCCATGCCAACAGCGAGCGAGGCTCGAGGGTCTCAAAAGAATTCGGCCTCATTTGCTCAGTTTTGAGAACACACGAAGAATGCCCTTCGATTGTTCGATTCGTTCACGAAACGGCCGTCGATGCACCGCTTTTCCACCGATTCAACAATTTTCCCTCTCCGCGTGTGTGTGGCATCAGGTGTACGACGCTGCGCCGCCTCCCAGAAAAGTGGGCGTCGCGAACCTGCCTCCCTTAACGGGCACCGGCGACACCTTGTGGCACGGGTCCAAGCACTACAAGGTTCTGCGCGTCAGCAGCCACTACAAGTGAGCACCAACTGCCCCATTTTTGATCCCCGTTTGTCGTAGATGTTGTAGATGTCATAGGTGTCGTAGATGTCGCAGATGTCATAGATCTTCTTCTCGCCTCTGCCCAACAGGGAGAACTCGGGCTCCATCAGGATACACCATGGAAATGCACCGACACATGGAGAAAGCCGAACGTTACCATGCCGTGCCGGCCCCGTGATGACCCCCGCCAGTCAATGACGGTTTCGCGAGGACGGCGAGAGGATATGCAGCCTATATCTCGAAGGCTTCCCGCGAGTTTTCCGTCAAGCTTTTGAAAGCGAGCCTCTCCTTCCTCTCCTCTCACGGCCAAGAACAGACCACAGCAGGCCGTATTTGCTTGGCACAGATGGAATACATTGGGGTGCCATGTATACTCTTAAGCCGGACGACACGCCACAGCTGTGGCTGAGAGTTGTGTCAACACGCTTTCGCAGATTTCAGGTTGGGGGTTGGGTACACCTGCCTGGAAAATCACACCGGAGGGAGAGAGAATGGTCTACTGACCCTCTTGGTCTCTGACCCCCCGAGTCGACGATAGCTTCGACAACAACTCTATTTTCAAGTGTCACCAGTTATGCTGTGGTCCTTGTTTGTGGCGTAGACCGTGCTGTCCGGCTGACCAATGAAAATACCTCACAATTTTTCCATGTGCGGCGTCTTGCCTGCTCTCGACGATGTTCATCACCACCTTCACGACAGGTACGAGGGCGGTCGCTTCGTAGTGCGACGAAAGTCCATTCAGGCCAAGGAGTTGAAACGAGTGGCAAAGGAACGGGTCGTCTCACGGCTTGTGTACGGCGACAGCGGAAAGGCGCCACCTCCACCTTCTTGATGCCGGGTCGAACGGGTAGTTTGTTTGGTTCGCAAGGTGGCGCGGTTTGTGTGGCATAACGTGGACGTGTCCTTTTTCGTGCGTGGGTTTATAGTCGTGTGTTGTTCGAGGTTGCCTGTCGGATTAGGCAGTAATGCGGAGTCTGCGGCATGTGTATCGAGACTGTCGCTGAGAATGGATTAATCGAGGGTGCCAGCCCCCAGAACCATCGTGCGAGTGGTTCAAGTGTCTGACTTTAGTGTCACTCGCGGGTAAGTGGAAATGCATACGAACATGACGCCAGGCGGCGCGTGCGTTTGGGTGGCCGTAGCGAGTAGCCGGGGGAGACATGTACAGGGGCGGGACGGCAGCTGTGGTAGAGGTGGAAGGGTACGAGCGGGCGCATAGTGTTACGAAAGCGTGCCGAGCAGCCCGCTACAGCCAGGTCACGGTTGTAACTGGGTAACGATTGCGATTGTCATTGGGTATCATAACAGGTGAAAAAGAGATCGTCGGAACGATTGCACTGCTGTCTGAGTGCAAGATTCTACAAGAGGCTGGCTGCGTGCGTTTCTTACAAGAGATGTGTTCATCCTCACCCACACTACTCCCCATCCATAATGCTGACAGAGGCACCTCGGATTGCATACCGGTGTACGCGTGAGCATGTTTGTGGGCCTCGATTGGAAGGCAAGGCGCTTTCATGTGCCGTACGGCAAAGAAACCTAACCGTTTGTGGCAAACACGAAAACCACGCATGGCGTGAATTGACCACAATTGTCATTGTAGAAATGGGAGCGCGACGACTCTGCGGCTGTCTTCGCGTCGAATCGCGGTGTATAATAAAAGCAATGTGGACAAGTATGAGACTGTTGTCTCCAGGTTCGCGTGTGAGCAAGTTCCCGTTGGGATGTGTGGTGTGGATACACACCGGTTCAGCCTCTGGTGAAGAGGCTGACGAGTACGGATAGTTGTGTTGTGAGCCAGGGGGGGAGCGACCTTGTGTTGAAGCAAGGTTCAGCATCCATCCGACACTGACTCTATCTGTGGCAACACCCCGAAGGTAGATCTCCGACAGGTCATCTGACGTCACAATCTACTACAGTCTGAGGTGGCATTCACAGCACCCCCCTATCTTCAATCACGGGGCCTGAATCCGGATTGAAAGATACAAGAATGACATAAATAACCCAGAGTGTATGAAATTGTGAAGTACTGATGAAAAACACGAGTTAAATGACTTGGGCCATAACGTACGGCGACTGCCATCATTCAACGAATGCTCTGTGTTTTGTAGTCATAAAAACTGGAACGTGTCACCAAAATATCTCATCCGAGCATCGATCGTACATAATGCAGTCACAACCACAGTTTGCACGAGAGCAATTCAGGAAGTTTGGCAACTATTCCCGTACGACGAACGAATAACTACACAGATGACGAAAGGTGTACGGAACATGTCACTTCAGTCCGCCTCGGCGCTGTAGGTAACATGTGATCTACCGTACGAACGAACGACGGGTGTACAGAAAAAACATCACTTCGGTGCGCGTCTTGCCCCGATAGTGTATAAAAACTGTACGAGTAGTACCTTGAGACAACGCCGTGAACTATTTTGTAGTTGCACGTAACGAACATCCAGCAACGAAAAATAATTTGGCATTGCACCTGTGAAAAACGATTGCTTGCAAGGCTTAAAGTTCACAAGTGTCGAATGGCAAATGACGTGGGTCGACCCGCTGGGAAAACGTTGCTCAAACGATATGCAGCTGCAACAACGAACGAACATATGTGCACAGCTCACGGAGAGCTAACAATACGACCTTCTCATGCGATTACGCAAACAAGAGGCGCTGCATAGACGAACGACGACGAATGGTGATTACGAGTACAGCAAACGATATGCTGTAGCATGGATTTGACGCAGTAGTGGGACGAAGGTCTGGTCCTCTTGTGCTTCCTCTTGCACGGCCAAGACACCCATCTACTCTTTCGCAGTGTACGACACGCGAGAAACGATGTGCGGATAACGAAAGGTGTACGGAACATGTCACGCAGTCAGCTTCAGCGCTGTAGGCAACATGTGATCTCCCGCACGGACGAACGGCACGAAATAACAATCCACCGCACGAAACGACTAGACAAATCGGGCATGAACAAAACCGTGTGAACAATGCAAAAGTGCATGGATCCAGAAGTCGATTATCAATTGCAATTCCCCCAAACTGCAAGTGAGACGATATCACCCCCCAATTTAATGACGGAGTGGACGAGAAAAAACGACGAACTTCCGATCCTGCCTATTCGCTCACATGAAGTATCAACTGACCCCATACGACGCACTCGTATCTCAAGGACAGCGACACAATGGTAATGGACGCTTCACACCACGCACGATTGTCTAAAAAACGGACGCACGTTCCAATCATAAACAATTGAAAACGCTGACGGAGCTCGTACGAGGTACTATTTCGTACGGCATTTAAACGGAGAAATATATAAAAAATAAATAAATCACACAACGGACGGGCAACGCCATGCCTTAAAAATGACGTGCGCTAGCATGCATGTCCAACGAAACGAAGACACGCAACCATGCTTGGTTCGCGGAGGGCGAATCTCGACGCGAACTAGGCTCCACCTGCCGACTTCCACGAGGTGTTGCATCCAACGTGGGCGTATCCACCAACAACGACAATGTCCGGCCGGACTGCGAAGGAACGTTGGGGACGGTGAGCACTACGAAACGATCGTGCTGGACAACGAACAATAACATATATGTACATATAAAATAAATAAAATAAAATGAACGAAAACGTAGCCCTTGGAAAATAAACGAAACACGAAACGAATAAGGCAGAACACAGCACGAGACACGATACGAAGCAGCCAGGACGCTACTTCCTGGGAGAATGATCAAAGGCGTGCGGATTATCACGAAGAACGCACGCTCGATATGAACGGATCATCTCATGACACTGGGGTACTTCTTTGAAGTGCTTTCAACACCCAAGACTCGCAGGACGGTCTTTGAGGAGGAAATAATATTGGAAGTTGTGGAGAGACGGTTTTCCTGCTCCACGTTTAAATTTGTCTATCCCCTCGACGACGTACGATCCAATTTTTACGGTAAACACGGTACCATCCAAATCGGGAATTGGAAGTGTTTGTCCCAAAAACATCTCATCCAATTCAGTAAAATCGGGGACAGAATCACGTTGAAAAGCATAGTACTTTTTCATACGACCCAAGTGTACTGACGTTTCCGCGAGTTCTCCGTCTTTGCAAACACGATATATGACGGGTGACACTTTTGAACGAACGGTGAATGGGCCATGCCAAGGGCTGATCAGCTTGGGATTAGGGCCATCAATAACGGTATGGGGACGATGTACGAGAACTTGTTCCCCAGGAGTGAACTGCGGTACGGATAATTTTTCGTTCGAGTCTGCTTGCTTGTCAGTTCGCTCTTTCAAATTACGACGAGCGATCGCATACGCGAGTTGCAAGTTATCCACGGTACGACGTGAATATTCCATCCGCGAAGCAGAGCTATCCTGAGACGGTACACCAAGAATGACATCCACGGGAAGCAAAGCCTGGCGACCGAACATCAGATAATGAGGAGTTTCCTCAAGAGTTTGGTTGTACGCGGTGTTATGGGCGAGTTGCACAAACGGTAAAAGCTCAGCCCAATTATCAAACCGAACGTTTGCATACATTGCGAGCATGCCATGCATTGTGCTGTGCACGCGCTCTAATACAGAGTTACCTTGCGGCTGATACGCGGACGTCCGAGTTTTTTTGAAACCAAACACGGCCTGCAACTCTTTAACCAACTCATTCTCGAACTCAGTGCCCTGATCACTGTGTAACGTTTCAGGGGGAGGGAAAACGGAAAAGACACGCTCTACAAGAGCCTGTGCAATTGTTGTTGCTTTTTTATCACGAATAGCAATCAACACGAGAAAACGGGTCAGGTGATCGATGACCGACAAGACGTACTTGCAACCCTGTGATACGGAATTATATTCAACGAGGTCGATCGCGACACACTGAAACGGACGGGTAACGGGACGGTGACCTACAGGTAATAACGGTCGTCTGTTGGACGTTTTTCGGTGTTGGCACGACGAACAATGCTGGATGTGTTTGGACGCATCTCGAGACATGGTCGGCCACCAAAAACCATCTCTGAGTCTATCGTACGTGGCTTTGAACGCTAGATGACCCCCTGACGCAGGAGCATCATGACAAGAATCCAAAACTAACGCACGCAAAACGGTGGGAACGACAAGTTGATCACGGAACGAACTGCGTTTACGAAGATACCCGGGTAAATACGACCTGAAGAGCACGTTTTCATTCAAGAAGTAATTACTCATGGTGCCTTTATTTTCGCTAGACGGCAACGGTGCTGTTTTGGGTTTCTTGACGTAGTCGATATACGGACCGAACTCTTTGCACTGACTGCTCTCTTCGCAATTTAGCGGGATCCAGCACAGGAAATAACGATACAGCACTAGCGAACAGTTCATTGTCATTCTGGACAATATCAACATCGTTCAACGAATCGGCAGAAATTTCGTAGTCACGAGGGCCAGGTGGATGGTACGGACGATCACTCTGCACATTCCTACAAATCGACGCCAGGGCCGGTTTGTGCGATACGGACTCGGACTCAATTTCGCCAAATAAACGAGATAACGCATCGGGTACGACGTTTAATTTTCCCGCTACGTGTTTGACGGTAAAATCATAATTTTGAAGAGCGATAGCCCAACGAGTGAGCATGTTGCTGGTGTCTTGCATATAAAAAAGATGAGTCAACGCTTGATGATCAGTAATCACCGTAAAGTGTTTCCCAAATAAATACGGTCGCCAATGCGAAATTGCAAGAACCACACCGCAACACTCTTTCATAGACGCAGAGTAATGACGCTGTCCATGTTTGAATCGATGACTATAATTCGCAATTATGTCAAGAGACTCCGGATCAGCCTTGGACGGCTGGGCAAGAAATGCGCCACACCCATGTTCGGATGCATCCACATGAACTACGAATTCCCGATCGAAATCCGGGAAATGTAAAACGGGCGCTGAAGTTAATAACCGCTTGAGATGAGCGAACGATGCGTCGTGCGATTTTTTCCAAGCTTTTACGAAACGCGATTTTGTGGCATACTCTTTGCGAGTTAACTCCACCAACGGATTGGTTATTTCTGCGTAATCCGGTATAAACCGGCGCACAAAATTAACCACCCCGAGTACTGAGCGAAGATCTTTAAGGCAACGAGGTGTAGGAAGGTTTTGGACGGCTTGAATACGATCCTTCCCGACAGAAATACCTTCAGCCGAAATAACATGTCCCAAATACTCGATGGATTTTGGGCCAAACGAAATCTTCGAAGGTTTCAATGTCAGACCTGCTGCTTCAAGAGCTACGAACATGCTCTCTAAAGACTTCATATGATTCTCGAAGGTTGCGGAAAGAACACAGAAATCATCCATGTAAATCAACAATTCGGGAATATGGCCTAACGTTTTATGGGCCATCTCAGTAAAAATCCACGGGGCATTACAAACACCAAACGGCATCCGCTTGTAACAGTACTTGCCAGAGTTGGTGACAAAGGCTGTCCTTTCGACGTGGTCAGGATGAACAGGAATCTGCCAGTACGCTGACTGGACGTCTGCAACGCTGATGAACTTGGCGCTGCCGACAGAGTCAAGGTTGGACTCCATGTTCGCTAGAGGCCAGGTCTTGCGAATGATGTGCTTGTTGACGGTGCTTCGGAAATCGACGCAAAAACGAGGTTTACCATCTTTACGCGCGACGAGAGTAACGGGGGAACCCCACTGACTAGGCAGCTCTTCGATGATATCATCGTCAAGCATGTCCTTGACGCACGTTTGGATAACGGCTTCAGTGCGAGGGTTAGCGCGATAGGGACGACGGTTAACCGGCTTCGTGTTAGGCGGCATAGGAAACGTGGCTTGAGCAGTCTTGCATTTACCAAGCTCTTTACGATTCAGCGAAAAAACGGGACGATATTTGGCACACAGGTCCAAAACACGAGTTTGCTGTTCCTTAGAGAACGTGGAATTTGTGAACGCTTTCGACAGCGGTTCTACCAGCTCTGCTTTAGCAGCAGCAATTTCGCTCGCGGTTTTCGGAGACGAAGCAACAGCATGGACGTGAAGCTGTTCCTGTGCTACCATAGTAACCGGCGATAAAGTTCCAATCTCCAATCCAACATGTACGGCGAGATACGCAGATGATGGATTCGCAATTTGGACCACTACGGAACCATCAACAGCACTCCATGTTGAGACGGTACGAGCCACGATTAAACGTTCAAATTCGGGCGGAACAGTATCTAACGAAAGTTCATCGGCCGACAAAATACGCGGCTCGACTACTACGGCGGTTTCAACGGACGGTATGCATTCAGTGAATGCTTTTACGATCATCGCATGACGAGGGCGAATATTATAACGGTGACGTAATTTGACTGAGTGTTCTTCCGCATTTCTGTGAACGGCTGCAACACGGGGGGACGGCGACAGATCAACACCGTGTTGAGATTTTTTACGATGAATAGCGGGGACAACGGTGTCACTACACTCAAAAGTCAAACGTTCATTTTTCCAGTCAAGTACTGCCCGAAACCGGGTCATTGCCTCGTTGTCGAGGAGTATTTGATCAGGACCGAGCGATGGTACGACCAACGCATCGATTCGGCGGGACACGTCTCCAAACCGAACCACGAACGAAATAAATCCTAAAACTGAATTTGCGGGAAGGAGGGAATCAAGCAACACGGAACACATGGCATCCCACGTGGTCGGAGAGGTAAACGACCCTTTTTCCTCCGGCTCCGTGAACGTACTTGCCTTAGAACAGTCAATCTGCCCAGACAATATCTGCTGAATCAGAGTCAACACCTCTCCTGTTCCCACAAGGGCAACGTGTTTCAGTGCAACTCCATCGGCAAACGACGAATCCGGGTTGATGGCTGCGGCTTTCAACCCAACCACCGTACGAAAATGGTTCAAAATTTCGATGACATTTTCGGTGCGGTCTCCTGTGAGTTTAGGAACGCTGCGGAGATCAGCCGCGGATATGGAAACGGTAGCTGCTTGTAGAAACGTACGAACGGGGGGTTCGGTTGCTACAGCAGTAGGCGCCACCTGCGACGTTGAAGTAACAGGCGGTGCTACGACGGACGATTGCGCATTCGTAGGTGCAACCTGTGTTGTTGAAGTAACAGGTGACGCTACGACGGAAGATTGCGCACTAGCAGGTGCAACCTGTGATGTTGAACTATCGGTGGTTGCACTACCAGACGTACACGACACCGAAGTAGACGTGTTTACGGGCACAGTGAGCGATGGACTCGACGAGGGATTTGATCCACTCGTGGCCTGTGCGGACGGAACGAACGATGGTGCTCCGGGGGACAACGGTGTCTGCCCGGGCAACGGCGGAGCCAAAACCGGAACGCTTGAACTTACCACTGAATGTGCAGTTGCACCCGCTCCACGAGACGAGGCTCCACGAGACGACGACGACGACGCGGAGGCGACCGACGATGAGCTTCCCACCGACTCCGTCAGGAGACGCTGTTGCCACGCGATGGTCGCTGGCGAAAGCTCCGGCGGCGTCCGCCGCTACTTCAACGCGCGGAGGTAGTTTTTTACCTCCGCCTTGCAAGTTGCCTCAAGCAACTGCAAGGACGATAGCTGGTCCAACCCATCATCATCTCCCGATGATTGGTCGGACCGGTGCCCCTCGCCGTCCGACGACGGGGACGACGACGACGGAGACGGCGACGGCGGGCCGGCGGGCGACGCCGGCTCGTAATCGACCAGCTGCTCTCCGTCTTCCCACTCTCCAGGATGGAGGACCTCTTCGGACACTTTTTTTTTCTTTTTGGCCATGGCGGCAAAGTAGTGCCACCACCGCACTAGGAACTCGACCAGCACACGTAACGCCGCTGACGCCACTATGAGACTGTTGTCTCCAGGTTCGCGTGTGAGCAAGTTCCCGTTGGGATGTGTGGTGTGGATACACACCGGTTCAGCCTCTGGTGAAGAGGCTGACGAGTACGGATAGTTGTGTTGTGAGCCAGGGGGGGAGCGACCTTGTGTTGAAGCAAGGTTCAGCATCCATCCGACACTGACTCTATCTGTGGCAACACCCCGAAGGTAGATTTCCGACAGGTCATCTGACGTCACAATCTACTACAGTCTGAGGTGGCATTCACACAAGACAAAAAACAAAACCAACAGGAGATTAGGACCACAATTAAACAAGCAAACGGACGACATTGGAACATTGGAATGCCTAAAGAGACACAAAAACATGTGGACACAAAGCACAACACCACCACCAAATGACGGCAATCACCGGCACGCGGAGACATTTTGGAACAGATAGGCACAAACACTCCCTGGGTTGCCGAACCAAAATCACGTTCTACAAGAACCCCCCCCCCGACGTACCAGCGAAGGACGAGAGCAGCAAAGATTATTCCTCCTGCGTCACGCATATCCACTAGATTAAAAACGCTCAATAGTCCACGAGACAAGCACCGGCAAGAAAGAAAACGGGACAGCACGCTCGCAACTCACCCTCCTTGGCTCCTTGCTACAAGCGCGGACCCCAGAGGAGATTAGCGACAAAGAGCGAAGGCGGAGTGCCTTCGATAAAGAAAAAAAAATGGGGTTGCATGTAAATGGCGCCCGCGTACGCTATGCTACAGGTCTAAAGGCACCGGCGCAGCAGGCCGGCAGCAGCACCAACGCCGCGCTTCAGATGTACGGCTTGATGTTGGCGTTCAGAGCAGTGAGCGTGTACTCCCTTTTTCGTCCGTTGACGGAGTAAACCTTGTCCTTGTATGACTTCCACGTTTGGCCGTCTTTCGCCTGGGGGAAAACAAAACACGCCATTTTGTGGGTGAAGACAAAGAGCGGGACACCAAGTGGTGGAGAAGAAGACGTCGGGGAGCGTTCGGGAGGGGGAAAGGGGGTGAGAGTGAAAACCCTGATACGACCTCCAGGAGGAAAGGCGAGCAAAAGGGGAAAAAACATGAGGGGCGGTCCGTGAGGCCTTGATTTGTAGGATCAGTGACGCTGGCCAAAATTTATCATGGAGGTAAAAACAGCAGGTTTTGTACAAAACTACACTGCACAGCTCCGCTTTCTTCAGAGGAAAGGACGGCATGACACTGCTGTTGCGAGGGGACCCTCGTCCTCACGGTATGTACGAGTGGTTCCACCAGCACGAGTGCTTGTATCTGGAAGAAACACATGAGCGCTGTCACGCAACTGAAATTCAAGCGAGTGTTGAACCCCTGCTGACTGCCTCGGACGCACAGACCAACGGCAGAAGAGAGCACCGATCGTCCAACGCAAATGGAAGGGGGTGAGATGCAAACGCGGGTCATCTTAACAGCAGTCGTTCTAATAGGTCCCCTATCAACATGTGCAGTAATACCTTTGGCAAAGAGCTCGGCACCTTCCGATTTATTTTTAGGAACTGCAGCCCCCCGGCCAATGGCAATATATTGTGCGAGATATTTTTTGCGGAGGGACTGCGTACTGCTGTGGGAGGGTCACCATCTGTGGGAACGCGGCGTCAAGAGCCAGCTGGACAGAAAGGACTTGTTTGTGCTTGTTGCTTGTTGCGCTGCGGCGCTGCTGCGGTAGTTGTTGCTTTTATTCTTCCCTGTAGTACTGTCATGGCCTTCAGAACACAACACGCCTACGCGTTCAAAGTGTTGGTACCTTCCAGACGGTAAATGTGTCCATACTTGCGTCTCCGCTTCGGTTGTTGTCAGAGGAAAGTGTAGTAGGCCACAAACCCAGCCCTCCCTGCAAGAAAATGGGCGTGCTGTCTGTGTGTGTTGACACAAAGGCACTGAGTGCGGCACACTGGCAAACGCTCTCCCACCATTCTTGTCAGCTGTGCGGTTTACTCTCTGGGTGTCGCCCTCAGCCTCCAGCCCGTGCTCACGATGGTACCGGGCGCTCCAATCAGGTGTTGGTCGCACGGGGCAGAAGGTGCTACGCCAAACCTACACCAGCTTCCGTCCTTGCCCCTAGTACTGATAGGGGACAAAAAAATGGGGGGAAGCCACACGGTATGCTTCCTGTGTACACTCTATTGAAGTTCTTTCTCCCCAAGAACAATCCTTGGCGTTTGCCTAAAGGCAGCACCGTGAGACCGCCGACTCGTTGCGAGATGAATGAGCTTCGCCCCGAAAACGCCTATCGTACGCACTGCTGTTCTGATTTAGGGCTCGCAAAACACGTGCCCAACTTCGGCCCCGGCCATTGCGCACTCTTTCGACACCATTTTTCTGCGATGCTAACGCTGCTAAATGTTGGAGGACACGAAAAGCCCACCTCGCCCAGCCGGGGTGTGGTGTATGTATCACCAGCACCGATGCCATCAAAAGGAGAGGCTTCTTACACGACGAGGAATGGTGGTTGTGGGTGTGAGAATGGCAACGGCGGAATTGAGAGCAGCGCGGGTAGAAAGCCGCGCACACTGTACCAACTCAATTACACGATAAATAACTCAACACCAAAGAGACCCCATTGGGATATCTCCTTAAAACTAGGGTTACGGTCAAGGCTATTCGAACTTGGCCACATGACTCCTCTCGCAAACCCCTCGTACCAATCTCACGCCTGCCCGTGTCGCCCACTACGCACCATGCCGCGGTCATGACCGTCCTCAACGCGGGCAGGCGAGGAATCGCACCGCCCAGTCAGACGCGTCACCCACACGAACGCCCTACAACCTTGGCCACACTCGAACAATACACACACCTGGAAAAAAGCGTAGACTCGAAGGTTCTTGCAGCCCTCGGGGAAATACACGGTTGTGGGAGGCGTGCCTCGTCTTGGCTCCATTCTGATTGGGCGGTCGACAAACACGAGAGAAGAAAAAACACATAATCAGAGAAGGGCAGTAGCGTGACTGCTGTACACACCAACGCAAAAGACACAAACGGCATTATGCACAGGTGCGAGGAGCCGCGTCGCCTAGACGCCTCTGCTTGGTTCGGCGTTGGTTCGACCGGTCGATTCCTCTCCACCGCGCTCTCTCTATGCCGCATTCCGACAAAGCGGCGCAGCCGCGTTCTCGCCCAGTTCGGGGCCACTAGGCCGTGCGTTGGCCGTGGGTGAGGTTTGGGGTCAGGGTTAGGGTTGGGTTGGGTCAGCCACGTGTGTGACACACAATCCTATGTGTAGAACGTAGGTTCAACATCCGGTTACACCCAAAGATATCCTTTCAACGGGTCACCCAGCCTCCTCCCTTGCCAGCATATCGGGCAAAGGGTGACTTGGCTTCCACGTGGGGACACTTTTCATACTGAAACCAAGTCAGCATTTTTTTCCAGTGCCAGGCTATGATGTACTCAGTTTTACCACCAAGGGGACAAGCGGCTTGGGAGATTTTGTGTACACCAAGTCAGGCCGAGGAGGCATCATACAGCATTTTCACGCTGCGTACCACCGCACTCAAGCATGATAGAGCAAGTGTTCTCATGTGCGTTTCACACAGCGGAGCCTACGGCGACTGCGGTGCAGTAAGCAGACATTTGAGTGCCGTATCCCCAAAGTGTCCCCATATGGGCGTCTAGTAGTTCTAAAAGGGTCAACTCCATGTTCTACATGTTGCCTCCCAGCGCCCTCCTGCTCCCGCCATAGACAACTCGTGCGTACAATTAGCTCACCTGTGGTCCTTCATCAAGAAGTACGACACCATCTCCGTCTTTTCGGTGCACACCGTCTTTTCCGTCTTGGCCCTCTTCGCTGCCCGCACTTCCGCCCCTGGCCATCCGCCTCCTCCTCCGCCCATCATCGCCGAGACGATACCACCACCGCCGCCGCCGCCGTCGCCATCCTCGCCGCCGCCGCCATCGTCGCCGATACTTGCCTTCCCGTTGAGCTTGGTGTCCATCGTGCTCACGACCGTCTCCTGGACGGCCCTCGTCTTCATCTTGCACTCCTGCTCTACCCAGTACGACACCTTGTAGTCGCTGTTGTTGGCTACATTTATGCAGCTGTCCCTCCAAAACCAAAGCCCCTGCTGTTGGGATGGCTCCCCCATGATGATGCTGTATGTCGTAGGCTCGGCGGCGCTCGCGGACGATGGATTGGGGTCGCCACACTCAGCAGCAGCCACTCCGACAGGAGAGCGTATATCTATGCAGACTTCACCCCCTTCGCAACCTCCCTTCCACACCTAAATGCACGCGCTCTCTTGACCTTGCTGCCTGCCTTGCTTCCGTCGTTTGTCGATGTGCTCTCGGCGAAAGAACGGGCCAAAGAACGCGCCCGCTGTGCTTTTCTGGGACACATGTTGTGGAGGCGTGAACGCAGCGGGGGTATTAATGACAGGCCCGCAGACATGAGGCAATCCCGCCGCACACCCCTTCCGCTCTCTCTCGCTCGATGGCACTGCGACTTGCTCCCTCTCCCTAGAGACATGCTTCGGACCGGTGCTGCTGCTGCGCTCGTTGCGTGCGGTCTGTCTGCCTCTCTGTTGAGCCCTGCCTGCGGCTTCTTCCTAGCACCTTCGTCGTCGTTTCGAGGCATCAGCCGGGACGCTCCAACCCCGCCATCGTCGCTTCAGGCGCAACAGGTAAATACAAAATCAACATGAACACACGCACGAGGAGGGCTGTGAATCTTCGCACGTTGACCACTCTGTCGTTATAGTTGTAGGAGGAGGAAATCTACTCCTGCAGATGATCTCGTTTGTCGATCTTCGCGACGAAAGAAAGAAGGCCACCTCGGTCAGTTGCAGGGCTCCTACACTGTAAGACCAACTACTGCTGTACAATGTTCCCACAAAACATCTGGGTTGCTGATGCTTACGGTACACCTTTTTTTCGCGCACTTGCCCGACCTCCGTCTTTCGTAACACTGACTCTATGACACTGCTGCTGCTGTACCCCTGTTTTTTGTGTTGGCGGATTGATTCTCGCCGGTGTACCGCGGGCTCTTGTGGTCGGCCTCTCTCTTTCTCGTCGGCCTCCCCCTCTTGTCTTCCTCCTGCTGTCCCAGCGGTGGACCATGGGCATGGAACAGATCAAGGTACATGTAGGCCACGCATAAGTCGTTCGCTTCGAAAGCGTTGGGTTGTTTTCTCTCTTGTGATTCCTACTATTACATTCCTGTAACGTGTTTTTTCTTCTCTCTTGTGCTTCCTACATTTGATGCATTCCCGTATCATGATCCAAAGGGGAAACTTGAGCCGTGAGCTTCAAGTGTCGGGGCCTTCTTTCTTCGTGAGACCGACTCATCCCTCTATCATAGACTGGAGAAGCTGCCATAAGTGTTCATAGCCGTACCATACCCCCTTGTCTCCATCTCACGATAGGTTACCAAGGACCCCAGCGAGGAGGAGATTAAGGCTCTCGGCGCCCGGAGCTGGCCGACGTGGGGTTGCGGCGTTTCAAAGTTCCCCTGGACGTACGAGGCGAGTGGTCGACATCCCTACAGAGTATATGTTCACATGCCACTCCGCATCCTACTTGTTATCACGGTAGTCGTTGTTGTTGTTGCTACTGTAGTAGTTGCTGTTGTTGTTGATGTTGTTACTCCTATTCTAGTCCTTGTCCTTGTTTGTGTTGTTGCTGTTTTTGATGATGATGATGATGATGATGATGATGATGGTGATGGTGATTCCGTTGATGTTGTTGTTGATGTCTTTTCGCAGTCGCGGATTTCAATTGGCCCATTTACGTACCTTTACATTCCCACACACACGTGCACGCACACACACACACAGCCCCTCCCCGCGCCGCCACCGCCACCTCAGGGCACGGAAACCTGCCTCATCTTGGAGGGGGACGTGACCGTGACGCCCGATGACGACAGAGACGCCGTTGAGGTCGGGGTGGGAGACCTTTGCGTGTTTCCCGACGGGATGAGCTGCACTTGGGACGTCAGGGCTCCCGTCAAGAAGCACTACAAGTTCGAGTAGAAGCCAAGAGCGGCGGCGGAGGGACGCAGGGGCTGTGATGGCAAACGAAGGCGTGGTGGTGGTTCGCACGTAGTGAGAAAAGGCACCGTAGCTTCGAGTAGACGCCGAACTCCGACATGTAGATGGGCTCACCACCCAAAGAAGCGGCGATGATTTGATGCCCGTATTTTTTTTTTGTCGTTTCTCCCCAGGTTGGACATGTATGTATTCCGAAGCGTACTCGTACTTTATTCGGGGTAAAGTTCCGCGCAGCTGTACTAGGTTTTGGGAGGAACGAGTACTCCAAGCAGTACGCGCGAGGAGGATTGATCTCTTGGTGCCTGTTGGCGTGCTTTGTGTTATTGCATCATTGGAACTCTTTTTTTAGAATGGCGGCTATGTCGGGCTTTCTTTGCAGCGCGGGGGCATGTCCGCATAAAAAATGTAACAGGCACAACACCGCCAAGCGTTAGTTGAAACAACGCAAACATCCTGTTCTTCCTGTGGGATTGATGGGTGGGCGCACACATTCGTCCAAGCAGCTCGAAGCCCTAAATCAAGCAAGGCTTTAGTTTCCATAGACCCAGTGGGGGAGGGAAGACAGGAAAGGAAGGGTCGCCCTCATTTGGTGATGGGGGGTATCTCGGGACCGTGGCAGCATTTCTGCCGCCTGCCAGACGAGGGCCTTTTCTTGGTAATTGACCTTGCCGCGTACAGCCGGGCGTGTCTGTGGTAGTTGCTTTTGGACGCATTCAGCGGCCAAGCAAACGATGTCGGCCTCCCGCACCCCCTCAGACGGACAGGCAGCACCAACAACAACAACGCAAAGCAACAGCGGTGCGAGCACATGCAAAATCGTTATATGTTGCCCAACGTGTTGGGCGTTTCGAGTCACGCACGTTTTTGTTTTTGCTCCCTGGGCATGTGAACGGATACGAGAACTTGAACAAACACCAACACCAATGCGAAGAAGATATTCCTTCGTATGTACGCACTCGAGCCATGCTGCATGGGTGTACGGCCACCATTGAGAAACACGCGCGAGGTTGGCGACAGAGTTAGAACTCCACAAACGAGCTTGTTGCCCCCCCCACGCGACACTGTTGGGGTACAATAAAACGCGGTGGGATATCTTTCGCGGTCGAGGCTACCCTGGGATGAAGCGATACAGTCGTCAAAGCGTCAGTTGGACAAGTGGACACCGGCGGAGAAAAATAATTGTCCTTGCCGAGTGTATATCCTCCAACGAAATTTGCGCTCCAAGGCAACATTATTCGTATCTCTAGCTTCTGGTCGTTATGAAATGGCAGTTGATGACACCGCCGTACGTTTTTTCGGCAGAGAGGAAACACGGCGACATTCAACAGGTGGGAGCAGTTGTGCCACTTGTAGCGGGCACATTTCGCTAGTTGCCCTTCTCAAGCTTGCATTTTGGCGTTCGTTTGCCTATGGGTGTCCGATAACACTGATACTTGATATCAGACGGACGTAGGCCGGATGCAGGCAGACACTAGTACGAGGGCTGCACGGCTTCGCCTACGGGTGCTTGACGCCCGATTCGGCGAAGAGTCGAGTGAGGTACACACAAGCTTGGGCGTCACCAACGATGGATGCGGAGAGAATATAAAAATATCACCAACTCCAATCCCGGGGTCGTGGAATTCGGGCGTTCCCCTGTTCCCCATTGTCGAAGTTATAATTGTCAGAATGTTCATATTTGCATCATTTGAATTGGCCGGCGTAAAACCCGTATCAGCAAGCCTGGTTTACCCCCTGTTCAATCAGCTTGATAGGCAACGCACACCATTGCATACCGCCATGGACAGCGTTCAAGCCCAAAATTTACAAATCCTGACTGACCGATGTCTAAACAAGCATCACGCAAGGCGCAACATTTGACTTCACCCTGACACGGCCCGAACCTACAACAATCCAACTGCGAGTCCCCATCGTCGAACAGTATTCGAGGAAACTCGGATGACGCTTATGACAACATATAATCAACGGCAACTCGGTCGTCGAGGAACCAGCCACCTTACACCTACGTTTCAAGCGAATGCCAAGAAGAGGGGCATGGTCTGGAGACATTGCGCAACACCTACCCAATGAAGAGTTGGAGAGCAAGATGTGCACCGGCCTCACGGCACGATCTATTCAAAAAATACCCCTATCTTCTGCACAGTCTGCGCCGTCCGTGCATGCCACGCGACACGAATATGACAGCCAAAACCATTGAAAAATAACCTAGATACTCTCTCCCGTGAACAAATGCACAAAAAGGCAGGGAACAGCACGAGATACAACGTTACATGCCACAACAGAACAAGGGCAAATGACAACACATACACGCGTGCTACAGTATCTCCACCCACGAGCACTTCGTCAGGTGGAAAAGACACATCACGACACATAACATCGTACCCAACACCACGGGTCCCACCACTCAAGACTCACCAAACACAACTGTATGTACAACAACACACACACGTACACAAACGGCAAGGGAGCTAGAACGTGCACCCTGCCGGCAAATTCCACCAAATCATTACTTCATTTCCTCTACTCCTCGCCCCCCTCCTGGTTGTCGGGGTTCTCGCGGTTCAACCGCCCCAACAATGGGAGCTTGTTCGGGAACGATCCCGTCGCCGAAGTGCCAACGGAGTACGCCACAGCCGCCAACAAAGCCACGAACACCACGTCCGAACCCACGTTCGCCAAAGGCGCCAGCTTGGACGCGTCGGACCCCAACACCGCCCCCGTGATCGCACCCACCACGCCCGGCAAGATCAGAGCGATGTCCAGGTTGATGGCCTGCTGCATGTTGAACCTCACGAGCTTGTTGATCTGCGGGTTGCTGGACCCGATGGACAGACTGAAGAACCCGATCAGCGTCGCGAACGGAACGGACCGCAGCGCCAGCAGCACGGCGGCCAGCGGCTGCGCCCACGCCGTCTGCTCCGGGAACGCGCCGAACAGGTGGGCGGCGAACACCACGCCGTCCGCCAGAGGAAGCATGTACGGCAGCGCGGACAGCGCCTTGTCGGCGGTAGTGGCCGGGCCGTCGTTGACGTCACCGGGAGACACAACCACCGCCCCCGCGTCCGGCCTAATCCTGTCGTCCATCTGGCGCTGGCGCTCTTCCATACGCGCCACGCGCTCCTCCTCCCGCTGCTGGCTGAAGAGGTTCTCGAGCCTCGTCCTGAGCTCCTCCGTGGGGGCGAACTCCGACTGCTGCAGCAGCCCGTCCCCGTTCTGGTCGTAGGTCTGGATGAGCTTGAGGGCGAGATCGTCGGGGAACAGGGTTCCTCCAGGGAGTCCGGCGATGCGGTCGTCCACCTGAGATGTTGTGAGAACAAGGGGGGGGTCAAGGGGAGGATTGGGGAGGGGGCGCGAGTATGGTGAGAGTTGTTCGTTGACTTCGGGAGAGGCAGTGGCTAATGGTTGTGTGGGAACTAGGTGGGGCGATGTGTCGCATATGGATGGCGAGCACTCCATGCTTACCTTCAACGCAAAGAGGGAGCAACGTATATCAACGACCAACACCCAGGGTGGCTTCGACTAGCCCTACAGCAGCGATAGTGCAGAGCCGTGTGGCTAACCGCAACGAAAGTTCCAAAAATGAGAGCAGAGTGCACGACCTTGAGGTGCATCGACTACACAACGGTGGGGTACCATGCAAAGTTTGACCTCGAAAATGTTCAAGTTTCGGGTAGTGTCGAAAGTCGCGATAGGACAAGACGAAAACATTGAGGCATATCAGAGCAATAGTAGTAATGTTGGTGGGGCGTGCATTACACAGTCTTCAGGGCGCACGGTGGATCGCAGCACCTCCTCTGAAAAATGTAGGAAACGTCTACATTTCTAAGTTTTCCACAGTCTAACTCCAGTACGAAACTACAGCCGCAAATTAACCGTTCGCGCACCTCCCCTGGTGTAAAATGTAAGATCTGAGACTGTAGCCCTTGCGATGCACTACAGAATCGCGGTCCGCGATTTGCCAAACGATCCTTCCATAATCGAGTTCGGTGAGGTACCAGCAGGATTTTTGAAGCTGCTGTGCGGTCCGACTTTGAACCGCTCCAAGCACCTTTGCTTATGGCTAGACCGGCCTATACATGACCCCAGGCATTCAAGTCGACAATGGCGACGACCTGGATATGTGAGGGAAGAGCTGCACAGAAGTTCGTGGCCCCACACACAAATATAGGAGGTGATTCGCGGTCACTGTGTGCTTGACGCGTTTCAAAAGCGGACCTCACAGCGGCAAATCAACAACACGCGATGCTGCCATCGTCAGCTACTGTCTGCAACATCAGGGTAGCTCACGCCAACACTGCATGCTATGGATACAGTAGTAAACAGGTCATCTGATACACGCCACATGCACCATCCCTACCAGTGCTCTCTCGACTCACCTCTTCTTTCGACGGCTTCCGCCCCATGCGCGCCTGCAACGTCTTCGTGAAGCTCCGACGAAGCGGGCCCTCGAGCCCGGCCTTGAGCTCGGCGACGTCCACGGATCCGTCCTTGTTCGAGTCAAAGGTGTTGAAGGATCGTTGCGCGTTCTCTCGTCTCTCCCGCGCCTGCTTCTGCTCGAGCTCGGCAGCTTCCGCGCGGAAGGCGGCCGCGGTTTCTCGGAGCTTGGCCGCTCTCTGCTCTGCGACCTCGCTCACCATGCGGAGAGAAGACGTGGCCGGCGTTGCCGACGACCGGCGGCGAGCGTTGTGGCGAGTCGCTACGGCGGACGTGGACGACCTGACGGCGTGCTGAGGGTTGGCGAGGGACCACGAGGCTCCACGGCCGGTTGGAGTGACGAAGGCGGTGGTGGAGCCCACGAAGAGGGTGACTAGGGGAACGATGGTAGCGGTGATCGGTGCCATGGCTGCTGCTGCTGCTGTTGATGTGTTGATGTTGTGTTGACAACGGCGCTGCTGTGTGTTGGGTAATTGGTGGTGATGGATGAGAGTGGTCAGGGTGGGGCGGGAGGTGGGTGGTTGTGTGTGTGCAACACGCAGTTGCGCTCTGTCTCAGTGGGCAGTCGGGAGTGGAACCGTCAGAAGGTCTGCTGTGCGTTGCGAGTGACGGCCACACTCCCAAGATGTCTCCGCTTCAGAGTCAGAAGCTGGTGAGAAGTTCCTCCACGTCATGCCCGGTTCCGCCGCGTTTTGTGTGTCAGCGAAACATACTGAAATTAGAATACTGCAGGAATGCGGTCCGTACGGGGTCTGATGTGTCTGACAGTCCCGCCCAGTCAGAGGCAACAGCAACCAAACACCAACGCAACTTCTGACGGTCCCACTCCTGACTGCCCACTGAGACAGAGCGCAACTGCGTGTTGCACACACACAACCACCCACCTCCCGCCCCACCCTGACCACTCTCATCCATCACCACCAATCACCCAGCCCATAGCAGCGCCGTTGTCAACACAACATCAACACATCAACAGCAGCAGCAGCAGCCATGGCACCGATCACCGCTACCATCGTTCCCCTAGTCACCCTCTTCGTGGGCTCCACCACCGCCTTCGTCACTCCAACCGGCCGTGGAGCCTCGTGGTCCCTCGCCAACCCTCAGCACGCCGTCAGGTCGTCCACGTCCGCCGTAGCGACTCGCCACAACGCTCGCCGCCGGTCGTCGGCAAGGCCGGCCACGTCCTCTCTCCGCATGGTGAGCGAGGTCGCAGAGCAGAGAGCGGCCAAGCTCCGAGAAACCGCGGCCGCCTTCCGCGCGGAAGCTGCCGAGCTCGAGCAGAAGCAGGCGCGGGAGAGACGAGAGAACGCGCAACGATCCTTCAACACCTTTGACTCGAACAAGGACGGATCCGTGGACGTCGCCGAGCTCAAGGCCGGGCTCGAGGGCCCGCTTCGTCGGAGCTTCACGAAGACGTTGCAGGCGCGCATGGGGCGGAAGCCGTCGAAAGAAGAGGTGAGTCGAGAGAGCACTGGTAGGGAATGGTGTGTTACGCGTGTGTGACCTACTGCTGGGTTCATAACGTGCAATTTTGGCGTGAGCTACTCTCAATTCGGAGGCAATGGCCGACTGTGGAAATATTGACTGTCAGCGAGCGTTGTTTGTTCGCGATGAAGGGCCTACATAGACCATGTAAATACACGCAACATTATTACTGTTGCTTCTATGTGCCTTCTACTTCCGTGCAGTCGTAAAGGCGCTTTCGACCACCTGACACTTGAGAAATGCTGTACGCACGTTAAACTCTGAATGCTACCCGGCTTTGCATGTAGCTATAGTAGCCAGTGCACCTTTAGCCCATACCCGCCGTCCACGGCAATGCTTTCGATTATGTTGGCCGCACGACTCTGCACTATCGCTGCTGCAGGGCTAGTCGAAGCCATCCTGGGTGTGTGTGTGTGTGTGTGTTTTTGTCTTCACTTCAACTCAGTGTTCACAGCACATGTGCCGATTACTCCAACCCGTGGTCACGCAGAAGGGCCCCCTACCCACCCCTCCTGCGGTACTTTGCCGTCGATCTTTTCAATAGAAAAGGTGCAGCACTCATTTCCATCTCTGTTAAAAATTGAAACAGCGCTTTCCACCCAGGCCAGGAACGCAGCATAGAAAAAACTCACTTTGCAAGACATTCTCGCTCACGCTCGGATCCGAACCCCTGACCCAGACAACCAGAAGGTTTTCGAGGATACCAACCCGACCATCGGCGCGACCGGCTTGGGGTTAGGGTGTTGGTCGTTGATAAACATTGCTCCCTCTTTGCGTTGAAAGCAAGCATGGAGTGCTCGCCATCCATTTGCAACACATCGCCCAACCTTAGTTGCCACACAACCGTTCGCCACTGCCTCTCCCGAAGTCAACGAACAACTCTCACCATACTCGCGCTCCCTCCCCAATCCTCCCTGTCATCCTCCCCTTGTTTCTCACAACATCTCAGGTGGACGACCGCATCGCCGGACTCCCTGGAGGAACCCTGTTCCCCGACGATCTCGCCCTCAAGCTCATCCAGACCTACGACCAGAACGGGGACGGGCTGCTGCAGCAGTCGGAGTTCGCCCCCACGGAGGAGCTCAGGACGAGGCTCGAGAACCTCTTCAGCCAGCAGCGGGAGGAGGAGCGCGTGGCGCGTATGGAGGAGCGCCAGCGCCAGATGGACGACAGGATGAGGCCGGACGCGGGGGCGGTGGTTGTGTCTCCCGGTGACGTCAACGACGGCCCGGCCACTACCGCCGACAAGGCGCTGTCCGCGCTGCCGTACGTGCTTCCTCTGGCGGACGGCGTGGTGTTCGCCGCCCACCTGTTCGGCGCGTTCCCGGAGCAGACGGCGTGGGCGCAGCCGCTGGCCGCCGTGCTGCTGGCGCTGCGGTCCGTTCCGTTCGCGACGCTGATCGGGTTCTTCAGTCTGTCCATCGGGTCCAGCAACCCGCAGATCAACAAGCTCGTGAGGTTCAACATGCAGCAGGCCATCAACCTGGACATCGCTCTGATCTTGCCGGGCGTGGTGGGTGCGATCACGGGGGCGGTGTTGGGGTCCGACGCGTCCAAGCTGGCGCCTTTGGCGAACGTGGGTTCGGACGTGGTGTTCGTGGCTTTGTTGGCGGCTGTGGCGTACTCCGTTGGCACTTCGGCGACGGGATCGTTCCCGAACAAGCTCCCGTTGTTGGGGCGGTTGAACCGCGAGAACCCCGACAACCAGGAGGGGGGCGAGGAGTAGAGGAAATGAAGTAATGATTTGGTGGAATTTGCCGGCAGGGTGCACGTTCTAGCTCCCCTGCTGTTTATGTACGTTTGTGTGTTGTTGTACATACAGTTGTGTTTGGTGAGTCTTGAGCAGTGGGACCCGTGGTGTTGGGTACGATGTTATGTGTCGTGATGTGTCTTTTCCATTTGACGAAGTGCTCGTGGGTGGAGATACTGTAGCACGCGTGTATGCGTTGATTATTTGTTGTGGGGTGTAACGTTGTACCTCGTACAGGTTCGTGCCTTCACGTGCACCTGCTGTTTGGGAGTGAGAGCGCATGTAGGTTGTCGCCTCTGGTTGTAGCTGCCCTAATCCTGTAGCGCGTGGCATGCACGGCCCAGGGCATCGCATAGATGGAGGATGGAGATAGCTGTTGACTAGATCGTGTCGAGAGTCAGCTGTTGTTCTCTAGGTACACTTGACCGTGTGTGCAATGTTAGCGACGATTTTGAACACAGTTTTGCTTTGTTTCCGCTGCTGGCCTAGCATCGAAGGAGGACATGTATTATAGTGTCGTGTCTCGTAAGCGCGAGGGCTGTCCGTTGTCAAAGACGATGTTCGAGGTTGCTGGTATGCCGTGCTGACGTGTAAGGTTATCGAAGGGATCGTGTCACTATTGGTTTTTGATAGAACGAAGCGATGAAGAAATATTGAAAACGCAAGCAAAACCATATCCTGATGAACACAAAGGGTTTCGCGGATCGATCTTCGACCACGACCCCGAGATCGGAGTTGAAAAGTCTCTCTCCGCATGCAGACAACGTGCTGGTACCGTCACAACTTTGGCTGAAGCCCATTGCCAACAGTCCTTTTGTGTGGCTCGAACAGGCAAGTTGGAGCTTCGGGTTCGATGAGCCATGTAGCGTTTGGTTGTGTTGTGAGCGTCAGCTTGTGACAGCTGTCTTGGCACGATCTCTGAATCATACCCTCTGCTGAGTCTTGACGCCGCAGCGCTGCCTCTCTCTTGAAGACGCAGCACGGCTACGTCTATCTCAACTTTGAATATTGCAGAACGGATACTTCGTCGTAAGTCGATTCAACCAAGTGCCGATGCATGGCGTAGTATATGGCACAACAACGCAGGTGTTTCGACGAATCCGAGCAATATGCATTTAGTCGTTACCTCATGCTGAACTTCCTTCCACGGGGCAGAGATGACGTCGATTTCTTATTGCCAAAACCCGAAAATTCTGCGCGTACATACACACACACACCGGTTAGGCTGGTCGATGCTACTGAACACACACACACACACACCACCTACAGATCTTGATAACCACCCCATTAGATTCCCACGCCTTGGAACCCCCAGTGGCCGACCTGTGACGTGTGCCACATGGCAGGGGGGGGGGTACCCTCCTCCCCAGTTCGGGGTGTCACAGTATCTTCGAGGTAGGCCGGGGAAGGCATATTCGAGCAACGTTAGTAAGTGGCATAAAGTCGCGATGAAGGCCGTTGCGCAACCTGCGAGAAAGAAACGGTCGAAAAACATGTGTCTATCAAGTCGTTACGAGAAGGACAAGGGTGCCGTTTCAGGCACGCGGCGGGTGGAACAACGCGAAACTGAATAGATCCATGTCGTTGAAGTTCGTCATCACCTGCCACCGTTTGCCTGTTGTTGTGCAACGGGCCCTGGTGAACGATGCTAAAAAGTACATACATAAATACCCCAGCGAGCACGTGCAACACGTTATTGTCGTACATGAGAGTGAGTTCCCCATGAATAATGCTGTTCTAGCTTTAAACTGTCGGCTCTGTGCCCACCTCGACCAAGTGTAGGCCATATGCTTTGGAGTTACAACACTTTCTCAAGCAGCAGCAGAACACCTTGTTCCCAAGGAGCACGATATTAAACAGCAGAAGCTTATTCAATCGTACCGCGAGCCCTGCGAACCCATCCCCCCACGCGATAGATTGGTTTCACGGCGTGTCGTACGGAATCGAATAGAAGGAAGGTGCAGAGAGATGTTTGAGGCATGAAATAGCCAGGAAAAGAGGGCGTCTATGCTGGGGCAATATAAAAAGTGGGCTGAAAAGGCAGCAAGTGATATCGATAGGATGGATAGGCTAGGGAAAGCATGTTTGAGCCACCAAATGGCAACGTAGGAACGAACGGTTGGTCATGGTGATCGATCCGGTGGAACATTGCTTCGTCCTCCCGAGGACACGTGGTCCATGGTCTAACAACTAAGGCATGCACGACTATGAGTACACCCCCACCCCACCCATCCCCCCCCGTTGGCGAGGAAAACTCGAGACAGTGCTACTTGTTGAAACATTTGTTTGTATATCTTGAGCGACCTTCCTCGATGGGCAGCAAATGCTACGGTTGTGACTGGATGCTTCGAAACACGAGTAGCAGAAACATGGGCAGCACTTGATACTCCCTGGAGAATAACCGGCCCTGCTTGTCAGGCGTGTCCCGAATGCCTTCTAAACATGACCGCATGGAATGGGTAGATGGCTTGACTTGACTGGCTGGAGCGGTATTGTTTGCTCTTCTTGTTATTGTGTGTTCGTTCCTTGCTGTGCTACGAGAGACAACTCGTTGTGCAACGCTGCCATGTACACGAAACACGCACAAACATACGGAAATGACCACCACAGGTAGGTACATGTGTGGGTGGTGTGGCGACATCGGATGCGCACGTTGCTACCGGGTGGGCAGGGTTGGTTACGGAAGACGTTCGATGTTGTATTGTTTGCAGCCCTCGCCCCTTTTCCACTCGTAACTTTCCGACGAGAACCAACAAGCCCTGGTGATGGCATGCTGCGTGCGTGGGCAAATGTTGTGTCTGCGCACAAAGCATGGATTTCTCAAAATGATCACAAAGTCAAAGCTATGAGCCAGAGCGCGCCCGCTCATGTACGACAACAACGTGTTGCACGTGCTCGCTGGGGTATCGATGCTTGAATCAGCACCGTTCACCAGGACACGTTGCACAACGAAGGTCAGCGGCGGGGAGAGGTGAACTTGAACCTCAACGACATACTATACACGATAAGGGTTGTGGTTTCACTTTATAGCATTGTTTCACCCGCATGCATGTCTGGAACGGCACCCTTATCCTTCTTGCAAGACTTGCCTTGCGACACACACGTTCGACCACTTTTTTCATCACGGGCGCTCATCGACCTCGATGGAAACTACCGCTGTGTTCAACTGGTCCTCCCCTGGTCTATCTCGCGTAAAGAAAACCAATAGTTCCCAACTGGGGAACAGGGTATCCCCCCGCCATATTGCGCGTGTCATCAGCCGGCAAGTGGCGATACCAAAGGCGTGGGAAAATCTCAACTGGTGTGTTCGGAATTGTGTCGACAGGGTGTTCATGCGCATACTTCTACCTAGAAGTTTTGTTGTTGCAACAAAAATCCGTTCGCATCTCTGTTCCGTGGGAAAACGTCCAAATGCGGTAGCTAACGGCTGACTCACACTGCTCAGATTCGTGGAACACCGTTGATGCACCAGATGGTACACCGTGCATCGGCTCATGGTTGAATCGGCCTACGGCGGTGACTTCGTTCAGCATGAATGGTTGAGACAAATATATATTCGGTGTTCCGAGCTGTGACGACTCCGTGATGCGCCTTTTACGACTGCGGTACCGCTGCATCTTCAAGGACGCGACGAACAGTTTGGTTTAGATATCGTGCTCAAGAAAGCCGTCACGAGCTGACGCTCACAGGACGAACGTCACGCTACATGGCTCACTTGCTCGAACCAGACGCTCAACCTTATCAACTTGTGCCATGGAAAAACAGGGTTTGTTGGCCCCAGTCGAATCTCCGAGGTAACCAGCAAGTTGTCTGCGCGGAGAGAATCTTCTCAACTCCGATCAAAAAGGTCGTGGTCGATGATGGATCTGAAAAACCCTCGGTGTTATCAAGACATGGTCATGTTTGGTTGTTAATATATTCTTCATCACTTCCTTCTATCAAAAAACAGTGACACATTCCTGCGAGAACCTCACTCGTCGGCACGGCATACCAGCAACCTCGAGCTTCGTCTGTGACAACGGTGACCCCTATGCCAAGCAAACACGACAATACAGCACAGATCCTCCTTCGGGCTAAGCTGGTCGCAACAGTAAAGCAAAACATTCGGTCAAAATTGTCAAAATTGTCGTTGACAATGCCCACACTACCAGGCGTACCTGGAGAACAACTACTGACTCTCGACACGATCTATACAACAGCACGAAGCATCTTCTTAACAGCCTGCACCGTCCGTACATGTACGCGCTACAGGAACAGGGCATCCACAACCAGAGGCGACAACCTACATGCTCTCACTCCCAAACAACAGATACCCAATAAGGCAGACAACTGTACGAGATACAACGTTACACGCCACAAAAAAATGATCAACACATACACGCGTGCTACAGTATCTCCACCCACGAGCACTTCGTCAGGTGGAAAAGACACATCATGACACATAACATCGTATCCAATACCACGGGTCCCACTCCTCAAGACTCACCAAACACAACTGTATGTACAACAACACACAAACGTACACAAACGGCAAGGGAGCTAGAACGTGCACCCTGCCGGCAAATTCCACCAAATCATTACTTCATTTCCTCTACTCCTCGCCCCCCTCCTGGTTGTCGGGGTTCTCGCGGTTCAACCGCCCCAGCAATGGGAGCTTGTTCGGGAACGATCCCGTCGCCGAAGTGCCAACGGAGTACGCCACAGCCGCCAACAAAGCCACGAACACCACGTCCGAACTCGCGTTCGCCAAAGGCGCCAGCTTGGACGCGTCGGACCCCAACACCGCCCCCGTGATCGCACCCACCACGCCCGGCAAGATCAGAGCGATGTCCAGGTTGATGGCCTGCTGCATGTTGAACCTCACGAGCTTGTTGATCTGCGGGTTGCTGGACCAGATGGACAGACTGAAGAACCCGATCAGCGTCGCGAACGGAACGGACCGCAGCGCCAGCAGCACGGCGGCCAGCGGCTGCGCCCACGCCGTCTGCTCCGGGAACGCGCCGAACAGGTGGGCGGCGAACACCACGCCATCCGCCAGAGGAAGCACGTACGGCAACGCGGACAGCGCCTTGTCGGCGGTGGTGGCCGGGCCGTCGTTGACGTCACCGGGAGACACAACCACCGTCCCCGCGTCCGGCCTCATCCTGTCGTCCATCTGGCGCTGGCGCTCTTCCATACGCGCCACGCGCTCCTCCTCCCGCTGCTGGCTGAAGAGGTTCTCGAGCCTCGTCCTGAGCTCCTCCGTGGGGGCGAACTCCGACTGCTGCAGCAGCCCGTCCCCGTTCTGGTCGTAGGTCTGGATGAGCTTGAGGGCGAGATCGTCGGGGAACAGGGTACCTCCAGGGAGTCCAGCGATGCGGTCGTCCACCTGAGATGTTGTGAGAACAAGGGGGGGGTCAAGGGGAGGATTGGGGAGGGGGCGCGAGTATGGTGAGAGTTGTTCGTTGACTTCGGGAGAGGCAGTGGCGAACGGTTGTGTGGCAACTAAGGTTGGGCGATGTGTTGCAAATGGATGGCGAGCACTCCATGCTTGCTTTCAACGCAAAGAGGGAGCAATGATTGTCAACGACCAACACCCAGGGTGGCTTCGACTAGCCCTACAGCAGCGGTAGTGCAGAGCCGTGCGATGAAGATAATGGAAATCATCGATGGGGACGGAGGGG